GAATGGCAGTTCGCTCTTGATTTGGCTTTCTTTAAGTCTGTTATTGGTGTAGATGAATGCTTGTGATTTTTGCACATTGATTTTATATCCTGAGACTTTGCTGAAGCTGCTTATCAGTATCAGGAGTTTTTGGGCTGAGGCAATGGGGTCTTCTAGGTATACTATCATGTCGTCTGCAAATAGAGACAATTTGGCTTCCACCTTTCCTATTTGAATATGCTTTATTTCTTTTTCTTGCCTGACTGCTCTGGCTAGAACTTCCAGTACTATATTGAATAGGAGTGGTGAAAGAGGGCATCCTTGTCTAGTGCCAGGTTTCAAAGGGAATGCTTCCAGTTTTTGCCCATTCAGTATGATATTGGCTGTTGGTTTGTCATAAATAGCTTTTATTACTTTGAGATACGTTCCATCGATACCGAGTTTATTGAGGGTTTTTAGCATAAAGGGCTGTTGAATTTTGTCAAATGCCTTCTCTGCATCAATTGAGATAATCATGTGGTTTTTGTTTTTGGTTCCGTTTATGTGGTGAATTACGTTGATAGACTTGCGTATGTTGAACCAGCCTTGCATCCCCGGGATGAATCCTACTTGATCATGATGAATAAGTTTTTTGATTTGCTGTTTCAATCGGCTTGCCAATATTTTATTGAAGATTTTTGCATCTATGTTCATCATGGATATTGGCCTGAAGTTTTCTTTTCTTGTTGGGTCTCTGCCGGGTTTTGGTATCAGAATGATGTTGGTCTCATAAAATGATTTGGGAAGGCTTCCCTCTTTTTGGATTGTTTGAAATAGTTTTAGAAGGAATGGTACCAGCTCCTCCTTGTGTGTCTGGTAGAATTTGGCTGTGAACCCGTCTGGACCTGGGCTTTTTTTGTGTGGTAGGCTCTTAATTGCTGCCTCGACTTCTGACCTTGTTATTGGTCTATTCATAGTTTCAGCTTCCTCCTGGTTTAGGCTTGGGAGGACACAGGAGTCCAGGAATTTATCCATTTCTTCCAGGTTTACTAGTTTATGCGCATAGAGTTGTTTGTAATATTCTCTGATGATGGTCTGAATTTCTGTCGAATCTGTGGTGATTTCCCCTTTATCATTTTTTATTGCATCTATTTGGTTGTTCTCTCTTTTCTTTTTAATCAATCTGGCTAGTGGTCTGTCTATTTTGTTGATCTTTTCAAAAAACCAGCTCTTGGATTTATTGATTTTTGAAGGGTTTTTCGTGTCTCAATCTCCTTCAGCTCAGCTCTGATCTTAGTTATTTCTTGTCTTCTGCTGGGTTTTGAGTGTTTTTGGTCTTGGTCCTCTAGCTCTTTCAATTTTGACGATAGGGTGTCAATTTTGGATCTCTCCATTTTCCTCATATGGGCACTTATTGCTATATACTTTCCTCTAGAGACTGCTTTAAATGTGTCCCAGAGGTTCTGGCACATTGTGTCTTTGTTCTCATTGGTTTCGAAGAACTTCTTTATTTCTGCCTTCATTTCATTGTTTACCCAGTCAACATTCAAGAGCCAGTTGTTCAGTTTCCATGAAGCTGTGCGATTCTGGGTTGGTTTCTGTATTCTGAGTTCTAACTTCATGGCACTATGGTCTGAGAGGCTGTTTGTTATGATTTCAGTTGTTTTGCATTTGCTGAGGAGTGCTTTACTTCCAATTATGTGGTCAATTTTAGAGTAGGTGTGATGTGGTGCTGAGAAGAATGTGTATTCTCTGGATTTGGGGTGGAGAGTTCTGTAAATGTCTATCAGGTTTGCTTGCTCCAGGTCTGAGTTCAAGCCCTGGATATCCTTGTTGATTTTCTGTCTGTTTGATCAGTCTAGTATTGACAGTGGAGTGTTAAAGACTCCCACTATTATTGTGTGGGAGTCTAAGTCCTTTTGTAAGTCATTAAGAACTTGCCTTATGTATCTGGGTGCTCCTGCATTGGGTCCATATATGTTTAGGATCGTTAGCTCTTCTTGTTGTATCGATCCTTTTACCATTATGTAATGGCCTTCTTTGTCTCTTTTGATCTTTGTTGCTTTAAAGTCTATGTTATCAGAGATGAGAATTGCAACTCCTGCTTTTTTTTGCTTTCCGTTTGCTTGGTAAATCTTCCTCCATCCCTTTATTTTGAGCCTTTGTGTATCCTTGCATGTGAGATGGGTTTCCTGGATACAGCACACTGATGGGTTTTGGATTTTTATCCAATTTGCCAGTCTGTGTCTTTTGATTAGTGCATTTAGTCCATTTACGTTTAGGGTTAATATTGTTATGTGTGAATTTGATACTGCCATTTTGATGCTAAGTTGCTGTTTTGCCTGTTAGTTGTTGTAGATTCTTCATTATGTTGATGCTCTTTAGCATTCAGTGTGATTTTGGAATGGCTGGTACTGGTTGTTCCTTTCTATGTGTAGTGCCTCTTTTAGGAGCTCTTGTAAAGCAGGCCTGGTGGTGACACAATCTCTGAGTACTTGCTTGTTTGCAAAGGATTTCATTTTTCCTTCACTTCTGAAGCTCAGTTTGGCTGGATATGAAATTCTGGGTTGAAAGTTCTTTTCTTTAAGAATGTTGAATATTGGCCCCCACTCTCTTCTGGCTTGTAGTGTTTCTGCCGAGAGATCTGCTGTGAGTCTGATGGGCTTCCCTTTGTGGGTGACCCGACCTTTCTTTCTGGCTGCCCTTAGTATTCTCTCCTTTATTTCAACCCTGTTGAATCTAACGATTATGTGCCCTGGGGTTGCTCTTCTTGCAGAATATCTTTGTGGTGTTCTCTGTATTTCCTGCAATTGAGTGTTGGCCTGTCTTGCTAGGTGGGGGAAGTTTTCCTGGATGATGTCCTGAAGAGTATTTTCCAGCTTGGATTCATTCTCTTCCTCCCCTTCTGGTACACCTATCAAACGTAGGTTAGGTCTTTTCACATAGTCCCACATTTCTTGGAGATTTTGTTCATTCCTTTTTGCGCTTTTTTCTCTGATCTTCGTTTCTCGTTTTATTTCATTGAGTTGGTCTTCGACTTCAGATATTCTTTCTTCTGCTTGGTCGAGTCGGCTATTGAAACTTGTGCATGCTTCGGGAAGTTCTCGTATTGTGTTTTTCAGCTCCTTTAATTCATTCATATTCCTCTCTAAGTTATCCGTTCTTGTTATCATTTCCTCGAATCTTTTTTCAAATCTTTTTTCAAGGTTCTTAGTTTCTTTGCATTGATTTAATACATCATCTTTTAGCTCACAGAAGTTTCTCATTATCCATCTTCTGAAGATTAATTCCGTCCTTTCGTCACAGTCATTCTCTGTCCAGCTTTGTTCCCTTGTTGGGGAGGAGTTTTGGTCCTTTCTAGGAGGCGAGGGGTTCTGGTTTCGGGTGTTTCCCTCCTTTTTGCGCTGGTTTCTTCCCATCTTTGTGGATTTGTCCGCTGGTCACCTGCATAGTTGCTGACTTTTCGATTGGGTCTCTGAGTAGACACCCAGCTTGTTGATGATGAAGTATTTCTGTTGCTTGGTTTTCCTTCTACCAGTCTAGCCCCTTTGCTGTATGACTGCTGAGGTTCGCTCCAGACCCTGCTTTTCTGGGGTGCACCTCTAGCTGCTGTGGCACAGCGAGGGATGCTACCAGTTTCTTTTTCTGCTCTCTTTGTCCCAGGATGATGCCTGCCTAATGTCAGTCTTTTGGATATAGAGGGGTCAGGGAGCTGCTTGAGGAGACAGTTTGTACTTTATAGGGGCTTAATTGCTGAGCTGTGAGCTCTGTTGTTCATTCAGGGCTGTTAGGCTGCTATGTTTGATTCTGCTGCAACAGAGCTCATTAAAAAAACCCTTTTTTTTTTTCTCAAATGCTCTGTGTTGAGCGGTTTGGGCTTTATTTTTGGATGTCCGTTGAGGTCCTGCCCAGCTAGGATGCAGACTAGCCACTGTTTGCCTGCCGAGGCTCCGCCCTGCTGTCCTGAGGCTCGCCCTGTCTCCGCTGTTCTGCTGTGTTCTTTGCCACGCCCTGGGGCAGAGTCTCTCTGTTGTAGCAGGTTGCCTCGGCAATGGCAGGCTGCGTCAGCAGTGGGCGTGTATCTCAGTAGGGACAAGTTGCCTCGGCAATGGCTGGCTGCGTCAGCAATGGGCGTGTATCTCAGTTGGGGCGGGTTGCCTCGCTAATGGTGGACGCCCCTCCCCCACAGAGTGCCTCGGGCCATCTGCATGGGGCTTGTTTGAAATCGTGGTTTTGTTCGTCCCACTAGGCCACCCCTAACGCTCTGTCCCTGCAATCCCCTGGGCTGGCCTAGTGTCCAAGTCTAGCTCAGTCTCAAGTCCAGCCCTCTCACGTCTCCAGTTGCCGGTTCAACAGGGCACCCGGACAAGCGCGCCCTGTGGGGAGCGCTGGGCAGGGCCGGCCGCCGCCACTCCGGCTGCCGGCTTCGCCAGGTGGAGGTTCCGCCTGGTGTCCCGCGTCTCCTCTTCACTTGGGAATTTCCCCATTCCGGGGGCAACAAAGATCAGTCTGGAAATGCAGCTCGGACTCACCTCTCCGCTGACAGTCCGAGAGCTCCAATCCTGGGTTGTTCTCACAGCACCGTCTTGAGTCCCCCCCCCAGAAGTATCTAAAGTTTTTCTTAAATAATATTTTACATATTTCAAATTTTCTGCTAAATGTATTTATTGTCGCTTTTGTCATATCTTCATTGTCTTTGTTTCATTTTTATTGGATTTCTATATGAAAAAATTTTAAAAATAATATCTGGTAAAATATGCATAACAAAATTCATCAGTTTAATTCATGATGTGTACATACAGTGATGCCAAAGTACATTCACATTATTTTGCAACCATCACCAACATCTCTCTCCATAACTCTTGATATCTTGCTGAGTTAAAACTATTTCCCACCACAGCCACCACAGCTGCGGCCGGCCGGCCCATCAGAGAGCAGCGAGCGTCCTCCCGCCTGGCTCCCAGTCGTCTGCGTTTGGCCGGACCCTGAGCCTTGTCGTCTGGCTCTGTGGCTGCCCGGGCCTCGTTGGCCGCCTGTCCGGCATGAAAACCAAGTTGTGCGCCGGGGGCAGGCGGAGCCCTTGCCACTCGGGCTGCTGCTGAGCTGCGACAGCGCTACCCGGGTGCCTGGCATGGAGCAGCAGCGCGACGTCCCCCGGCGACCTCGAGTCCAAGCAGCTGGGTGGCCAGCAGTCACCGCTAGCGCTGCCCCCGGAGCCTGGTGGGGCCTCCTCGAGTACCAGTTCCACATCAGTGTCACAGGTGGCCTTAGCAACATGCTGTTCCAGCGCTCTCTACCTGACACCACAGCCACTGTTGGCGATGAGCCTCAGAAAGAGCTCCTGCGGCTGTACTGAGCGATTTTGTAGATGAGGTCCTTGTAATAAAGAGGGATCCGAACAAGCTCAGAAAGAAAATGAATTTCAAGGGGCCGAGACCATGGTTCTGGAGAGTGTTATGTTTGCCAGTCTCTCAGAGCGGTCACTCGGGCCAAAACTCTATGGAATCTTTCCCCAAGGCCGACTGGAACAGTTCATCCCGAGTGGGCGATTAGATACTGAAGAATTAAGTTTGCCAGATATATCTGCAGAAATCGCTGAGAAAATGGCTACGTTTCATGGTATGAAAATGCCATTCAATAAAGAACCAAAATGGCTTTTTGGCACAATGGAAAAATATCTAAATGGAGTGCTGGATTAATTAAATTTACTGGGGAATCCAGAATTAAAAAGCTCCACAAATTCCTCAATTACAATCTGCCTTTGGAACTGGAAAACCTGAGATCATTGCTTGAATCTACTCCATCTCCAGTTGTATTTTGTCAGAATGACTGTAAAGAAGGTAGTATCTTGTTGCTGGAAAGCCGAGAGAATTCTGAAAAACAGAAACTGATGCTTATTGACTTCGAATACAGCTACAATTACAGGGGATTCGACATTGGGAATCATTTCTCTGAATGGATATATGATTATAGTTATGAAAAGTACCCTTTTTTCAGAGCAAATATCCGGAAATATCCCACCAAGAAACAACAGCTTCATTTTATTTCCAGTTACTTGACTGCATTCCAAAATGACTTTGAAAACCTCAGTACTGAAGAAAAATCCATTATAGAAGAAGAAATGTTGCTTGAAGTCAATAGGTTTGCCCTTACATCTCATTTCCTCTGGGGACTTTGGTCCATTGTACAAGCCAAGATTTCATGTATTGAATTCGTGCACATGGACTACGCCCAAGCAAGGTTTGATGCGTATTTCCACCAGAAGAGGAAGCTTGGAGTGTGACTGTGGGGAGGACTCCATCCACCTCATCACTGGACTGCATAAGAAGGCAGCAGAGCAGGGTCCCCCGTGCTTCGACTACTGCTCCTGCGGCAGGAGGCTTTGGGTGGCTCACTACTGAACAGAGATGTGTTTGATACTAAAGACTATAAAACAGAGAGACATTTAATTCATCTGTTTACGATTTCACTAGGACTCAAACAAGATTGGGAAGCAGAAATATAGCGCAATAGTACAACACCTCTGAATCCTTTTAATCTAGAGAAGGCGTTTCATATTTGGGGTCTAAGGTTTCCAGTCAGATATGGCAGACAGCAAGAGTAAGCAGTGTTACTTGCAGGTACTGTGGTTAATATTGATTTAATTATTTTTCATGAATGGGCTGGTGAATACCATGACCACGCTTTTGTAGATGGCGATGTGTTATAGACACTGCTCCCTCCTGAGGCATGGCAAGTGAGCAGAGATGTACTGTGAAGCCGCCAATCACTGTTGCAAGGTGGCCTCTGCCTGGGACCCCCGGAAGCTGCTCCTGTACCCTCTTGGTCTCCTGACTGAAGCTGGAGCAGCCGAGGCCACCTGCACGTGGAGTGGAGCTCTCCCCTCCTGCTGGGTGGGTGTGTTACATTGATGAGTTTCATTGTATTGCATGTGACTTCTCCCCTGCCCTTCCTTCTGATGGAGTGTGCAGACAGCTGTGCATGGCCATGGGGGTGGTGTGAGGACTTCCCTGTCTCCCGCCTCCCCTCCCAGGGGAGCCAGCTGCTTGAGCCAGCTCTTTGGGTCTCTCCTGCCTTCTGCTCTGTCTGGAGCTTGGGATCCTGTGAGTGAGCTGGGCTGCCCCTGGGCAGGGCAAGGGAAACCCTGGCCTGGGCTCTCTGGGGGCCTGCTTTCCCAGCCCTCACCTTTCCCGATGTCCCTGACATAGTCATTCTTGTGGAGGACAGCAGCCTGTATGTGGTTTGGGGCGTGGAATGAGTGTAGCTGTGAAAACCACATATATGAAATGTCCCATGGGATACAGTCCTAGCTTTTTTTTACTCAAAGCTCTTATTTGAATTGTTTTCTGTGCATATATTTCTGCTACCACAGCGATTGTACTATACAAGTAAAAACCCAACCTCAAAAAAAAGAAACAAACCTCTATTTCCCTTAAACAACACCTGTTTCCTTCCCATTCTGCACTGTCTGATAACCACCATTCTGCTTTTTGTCTCTATAAATTCTACCATTCTAGGTACATTATATAAGTGGAGTCAAACAATGTTTGTTCTTTTAAAATTTGCTTATTTCAGTTAGCATAATGTCCTTAAGCTTCAGTATGTGTCAGATGTTTTTTCTTTTTTGAGGCTTAATAATATTTAGTTGCATGTAAGTATCGCATTGTGTTTATTTATTCATTGATGAAGATGTGGGTTGCTTCCAGCTTTTGGCTATTGTGAATAGTGCTGCCATAATCACAAGCATACAGATAGTTCTTCAGTCCTTTGCTTTTAATTCTTTTCGATATGTATTTCGTAGTGGAATATCTGGATCATATAATTCTGTGTTCTAAATACGAAACGTACATCTTAATGTTTTTCTTTTTTTTTTCCAAGAAATGTTTACACTGTTTTTTTTATGGTGGTTGTACCATTTAACATTTGTACCAACAGTAGAAAAGCGTTCTTATTTCTCCTCATACTTTATACTAATTTCTGTTATAAAGGTTCTGCTGTTGTTTTTACATACTGCCATTGTAATGTGTATGTGAAATGGTATCTTAATCTGATAGGACATTAATTTTTATATTTATTATATAAGTAGGTTTATTTTCTATCCAGCCACTATGCCATATCTTTGTATTTATTCAGTCTCTTGGTTTCTGGGTATATCATCTACAAATAAAACTTATGTTTGTATTTTTTCTGGGAAATCATGTTTGGTAATGCTGTATACAGTATGCAAGGCACTGTTCTAAAATCTGTTCAGATAGTAACTCATGACGTCAAAATGTAATGTGAGCAGGATTAAATATCCAGACTTTTCTAGAATTATGTCTGATAATGTGACAAAGGACATTTAATAGAGAAGAAAGTTAGCTTGGGGAAAGGCCTGAAGCTAAGCCCCACAACTACAAAGTCAACTTTGACTAGTTACACGTGTTCTTTGTTTCTCACACCACAGGACCTGTAGTGTGGTGAGTTCTGGGTTCAAAGTGGAGGCACCTGATGATCTAGTTCAGGTCTTTTGTCCTGTGTGGGAGTGGGGTCAGTATCAGGCTGCTGGGGTGAGCAGGGGATGCTCTGTTTAGCAAAACTGAGAGGATCCTTGAGAACTACAGGTATAAATTTCCACCCAACCATGTGTATTTCAGATCGCTTTTTAAAGAAATTCAACACATAGCTAGGTGCAGTGGCTCACACCTCTAATCCTAGCTACTCAGGAAGCTCAGGTAGCAGGACAGAAATTTGAGACCAGCCTCAGCAACACAGCGAGAATTTAACCAATTTATGTTCCCATCAAACGTTCCCAGTGTACAGCTGGCCTCAATTACCAGGTAAACTTAGGATAAACCATGTATGACAAATTCTGCTGTTAATACTTCTATGAAAGGACTAAACATGGTAATTTTTCTGTCTTCTTTTTACCTTTTAGCAGATTGCCTGTGTGGCCTATCACATTCTGGTTTAATTATGTAATTTAAAAAATTTCTACCATTGTAGAGCATCTCTGAGTTTGGAGATTTTTTTTTTTTTTTGAGATGGAGTCTCAATCTGTCACTCAGGCTGGAGTGCAGTGACATGATCTCGGGTTACTGCAACCTCCATCTCCAGGGATTAAGCAATTTTTCTGCCTCAGCCTTCCAAGTAGCTTGGATTGCAGGTGCCCACTATTATGCCTGGCTATTTCTTTTGTATTTTTAGTAGAGATGGGGTTTCACCATGTTGGCCAGGCTGGTCTTGAACTTCTGACCTCAAGTGATCTGCCCACCTCAGCCTCCCAAATTGCTTGGATTACAGGCGTCAGCTGTCACACTTAACCAGATCATTTTGTTTTAAATTATGTTTTCCAAACACTCTGCAGAACTACCAGACAGAAAATAAAAATGAGGTGCCCACAAGGCTTTAGGTAGAGGGACTTTTCTCACTTTGACTTGCACCAAAATCTGCAGGCAAAATGTTTCTCTGCTTGTTTGTGATACAGTCTCTTCCATAGTTATTCAACCACATTTCTAGGAAAAAAAATAGCTTCACAGCAGAGCAATTTGTCATTTTACCTCTATCTGTCAGTGTACTTGGCATCTTCAGATCTGAAAGTAATTCAACGCTATCGGGCCCTGAATCCCAACCAGGCTGGCTAAGGTTTTGTGAATATTGTTTATCTTTTCAAAAAAACTTTTGATTGTTCTTTTTAGATATTTTCTACATTTGTATTTATTTCTGCTCTGATCCTGATTATTTTCTTCTCCTAATTTTGAATTTGGTTTGCTCCTGCTTTTCTAGGTTTTAATGATACATCAGTTTATGTACATAGTTTATCAGTTTACTATACATAGTTTATTTGGAGTTTTTTTTCTTTTTATTATTTTTGTTAGGCACTTACTGCTATTATTTTTTTTAGTGTTGCTGATCCACCGTCTATGTATGTTGTGTTTCCATTTTCATATTTTTTGAAGAAAATTTTAAATTTTTTTCTAATTTGTTTTTTGGCTCACTGGTTATTCAGGAGCATTTTTAAATTTTAATTTTTATTTGTTTGTATAGTTTCCAAAGTTGCTTTTGTTACTGATTTCCAGTTGTATTCTATTATAGTCAGAGAAAATACTTAACATAATTTAATTGTGGGGAAAATATTTTAAGAATTACTCTGTGACCTAATGTATGGTCTATCCTTGAGAATAATCCTGGTACTGAAGTGTAGAATTTGTATTCTGTAGCTGCGGGGTAAAATGCTTGTAGACATCTATCAGGTCTATTTGGTCCATAGTACAGATTAAGTCTAATGTTTATTTGTTGATGTTACTATGTGGGTGATCTGTTTACTGCTGAAAGTAGGGTGTTTAAGTCACCAGCTATTATTGTATTGGGGTTGACTTTTTTGTTTAGGTTTAATATTTCCTTCATATATCTGAGTTCTGCAGTGTTGGGTGTATTTATATTTACAGTCATTATATCCTCTTCCTGAATTGACAATGTATAATGACTTATGTCTCTTTATAGTTTTTGTCTTGAAATCTGTTTTTTTTTTGTTATAAGTACAGCTATTCCTGCTCTTACATGGTTTTTATTTGCATGGAATATTTTTTCCCTTCCTCTACTTTTAGTTGCTGTGTGTATAGGTAAAGTGTGTGTCTTGTAGACACCAGATTGTTGGTTTTTTTTTTTAAATTCATTTGGCCAGTTGATGTCTTTTGATTAATTGGAGACTTAAATATATTCACATTTAATGTTTTTATTAGTAAGTGAAGACACTTACTTCTGCCATTCTTTTATCTGATTTTTGTTGCTTAGAGGTCTTTCCTTCCCCTCTGCCTGCCATTTATCCTGTCTTCCTTTTAATGAAGATAATTTTATCTGTGGTGTGTTTTAATGTCTTGGTTTTATGTGTGTGTGTATCTGTTACAGGTTTGTTATTGAAGTTACCATGACATTTGCAAATAATATCTTATAACCCATTATAACCTGATGGTAACTTAACACATAGTTTAAAAATAAACAAATAAGCAAAGGGAAAACTAATATGTTTTTTCTGTTTATGTCTTATTATGCTGTCAATGTTTTAAACCTGTTGTTAGCAATTTTAATAACAGCATCAGCCTCAAAAAGAAGATGTAAAAGTTATGGCCTTAAAGAGGATATAGAGAAAATTATTTTTAATAACTAAAAGTAGTTATAGAGTAATTTTTTAGTGTTCTCAAAATATGAATAGTCTACATGCCACATTCACAGTGCTATAAAATTTCATGTTTGTCTTTATACTTAATACAATCAGCAAGTTTTGTACCAGGTGTTTTCTTATTGCTTATTAATGTCTCTTTCTTTTAGATTATCCCTTTGGAATTTTTTTGCAGGACAGGTCTGGTGTTAGTAAAATTTCTGTTTTGCTTGTCTGTAAAGGTCTTTATTTGTCCCTCATGTTTGAAGAATATTTTTGCCGGATATATTATTCTAAGATAAAAATTGTTGGGTTTTGTTCATTTGTTTTTTGTTTTTCAGCACATTAACTGTGTCATGCCACTATTCTCTGGGCTGTGAGGTTTTCACTGAAAAATCTTCTGTGAAACATAAGGTGCTTGTCTGAATGTTATTGTTTCGTTTTTCTTTTTGCTTTTAAAATCTTTTATCTTTGGACTTTGGGAGTTTTATTATTAAAGGTCTTCAGGTAGTCTTCCTCAAATTGATTGCATTTGGTATTCTATAACTTCTTGTACTTTTGCATACAAATATCTTTCTCAAAGTATTGGAAGTTCTTATTTTCCCTTTGAATAAACTTTCTACCCTGAACTCACTCTTTCTCTCCTCTTTAAGGCCATAACTTTAGAGTTGCCCTTTTGAGGCTGTTTCCTAGCTCTGATGAACATGTTTTACTGTTTTTTATTCTTGTTTCTTTTGTCTCTTTCAACTATATATT